TGATTCACTTTGCTGTACAGCAAAGTGAATCAGTTATACGTATACATATATCCCCTCTTTTTTAGATTTCCTTCCCATTTAGGTCACCACAGAGCACTGAGTAGAGTTCCCTGTGTTATACAGTAGGTTCTCATTAGTTATCTATTTTATATATAGTAGTGTATATATGTCAATCCCAATCTCCCAGTTCATCTCACCTCCCCTTCCCCCCTTGGTATCCACATGTTCTCTACATCTGTGTCTCTATTTCTGCTTTGCAAGTAAGTTCATCTGTACCTTTTTTCTAGATTCCACATATAAACGATATTATATGATATTTGTTTTAGGTGTATGGATTTAAATAAAAGACAGTGATTCCTTTTTTCATGAGAGCAGCCTTGGAATTCTTTTGGGGTTGAAGTCAGATTTCAGAGGGCTAATGTATATGTCACTCTGACATTTTATCCCTAAAATCCCACAGCATTGCCCAGCTTATCCTCTTTCTCTGATTTGGACCATCTACTAATCTCCCTTTAGCAATCCATGAAGCATACTTTTGGTTCTTTTAAATATATATATTACTGAAAGAAAGTTTTACTTGAAAATACACAGCGTAAACAGTTTTTACAGGGAAATGGGTATCTTTTAATATTTTAATTCGTTCATTTCATTCATTGCAACCCCCTTCTATTCTAGCAGAACTCAACTGTATTTTAGGTTGTGATTAGCACTGTCACTGGAAGTACTTCTCAGAATATTTTAGCTGAAGCTCCAGTTCTTATTTTCATATACCCCCTATTCCCAAGATATCTCCGGTTGTCTCAGGGGTTGTCCCACAATTCTCAAAGCACAATACTGGTGAGTTTTAAGAAACCTGTGACAAAATGCAGCATTGCTAGATATATTGGGACCAAGACAAAATCAAACACAGAGTCATCTAACAGGTCCAGGTAGATTAGGAACCCACTGTTATAATGTGTGGGCAGTTCTGCTTTTCTTTGTGTAAACCTATAATCTATTTTTAAAAATCTCTTCTCATACATTTTCCCAGGAGTAAATTTGAGAATTTAAAAACAGCTCATTGTGTTTTAAATTTAGTGCTCAAGGAAACCGAACTACCCTGTTTGACTTTTCTGTACAGGTGATGGACTTCCCAAACCAGAACTAATATCCTGGCTTGAACAGGGGAGAGAACTCTTCAGGATCTGGGGAGAATCACAGAAATCAGGAAACATAATTTGCACCTCTGCTGATTTGCATTTGGATCCAGTTATTGAGGGACAACTGTTTGTGGGTGAGTATTAAGAAATCAGGGCCCTGTCCTTAAGACATCCCATTCAGGTTTCTTAGTTCCAGTTCTCTGACCTTGACTTCCTGTTTGACTGGACTGAGGCTTAACACCTGGTATATTCTAGAGAAAGGCAGTAAAGCATAGTTGTTAGGATTGTGGGTTCTGGATCTTGCCTTTTCCAGGTGACCTTGGGCAAGTTATTCAACCTCATAGTATTTCAGTTTCCTGACCTATAAAGTGAAGATAATTAAAGTACCTACATTATAGGATTAAATGGGTTAATGTATGTAAACTGTCACAATGATACCTGGCAGCACAGTAAGAGTTCAGCAAATATGAGGCATTCTTAGTAGTGGGGGGAGGAATAGAGACTCCTCTTTTGTTTCTTGTCATGATGGGAGAGTCTGAGATTTTTGGATTCTTAAGGGTCAGTATTAAAGTATGGAAAGAGAAAGTCAAATGGGAGCATCATTCCAAGAAATGTTGTCAGTAGTTTAATTTTTAGCTGCTTCTTTCAGGAGAGTAAAAGAGTTTTTCTTCACAAATTATTTCACTTTTTACTGTCTGTTAGCAATTCTTCCAAGAAACCTTTTTACAAGGTTGGTAGGAATAGAGACGAGGAGGGAGGAACATCTGGTCTTAGGACAGCTCCTGGAGTATATGGAATCATAGTGTTAGCCAGGGCCTGTCAGTAACACTGCCGTCATTATTTTATCTTTTTTTAAGTCTTTATTGAATTTGTTACAATACTGCTTCTGTTTTATGTTTTGGTTTTTTGGCGAGGAGGCATGTGAGATCTTAGCTCCCTGACCAGGGATTGAACCTGCACCCCCTGCACTGGAAGGTGAAGTCTTAACCACTGGACTGCCAGGGAAGTCCCTGTCATTATTTTTTGACTCCAGGAATGTCTGCACATCTAAATGGGACAAGTCTGGTGGCCCTGAGGTCATAATAATGGTGAACATTTACAGGGAACATGCAGTGTGCCAGGCCCACGCTAAGCCCTTTACCCACGTTAACTCATACAGTTCTCACAACAATCTTATGTATTGTTTCCATTTCTACAGGAGAAGGAACTGAAGCCAGAGATGAGTTTGACAAAGCTTGCACAGTGGACAAATGGGATTCGAACCCAGTCTGATTCCAAAGCTTCGGCCCTGCATTTGTGACTTACATGTTCTCCTTTCAATATTATTCTAAGATAGGTCTGTTCAGTTTAATTTCAGCAGACTCTCACCAAACTCCTGGTCATGAAACTGACCCCACTGAAAGGAGCTGCCGGTTCATAAGCCTTGGTCATGTCACAGGCTGGGATACTGACTGAAGTTTTCTTTTCAATTTCAGGAAGCCAGCAAGCTGTGAAACCAGGAGAAGCCCACTGCCATTTCCAAGTAGATCCTCTTCAGAGCCAGCGTTCCTCTGAACCCTTATTAGGAAAAAGTGAAGATGTTTCCTTCAGGCCTGACCAAGTCGTCGCCCTCCTGAATCCACAAAGACATGATACTCGGGCTCTAGTTCCAGTAGTCCACAGCTCCAGGGAACCCACCCAAAGAGGCACAATCCTAAGTCCCAGGACCCTCGGTCCCCCAGGCTTCCAGGAAACCTCTGGGGAGGGCCTCCAGCACCCTTGCCCTGTCTGTGGGGAAGGCTTTTGGAAAAACCTCTCAGAGCAGCACCAGGGGAGCCACTCGAAGGACCTGCCACACAGGGCCTGGAATCAATTCCGCAAACAAACCGAGGCACAACAGCCACTGAGCATCCCTCGGGGACAGAGGCACTTCCACTGTCCAGAATGTGGGCGGGGCTTCCGCCGGAAGTGTTTGTTTAGACCCCTGTCAATCCACCCTGAGGAGAGCCAGCTGCTGGGCAGCGAATGTGAAGTGTACGCCCACCACCTGCGCGCGGGGCCGAGGCCTTCCCAGTGTCCCGGCTGCGGCGAGCGAGGCCCCCGGGGCCCTCCCGGCGCGGAGAGGTCAGGCTCCCGGAGAGAGGGTGCCAGGGCCGCCTCCGAGCAGGCTGAGCTCCCGCACTCGGGAGAGAAGCCGGGCCTGAGCCCGGCTGGCGAGGAGCGCCCGGAGGCTCTCGAGCCCGGCCCCGGCGCGGAGAGGTTGGCCTCCTGCGGCCCGTGCGGCCGGCGCTCCTCCCCGCAGTGCGGGCTTCCAGACCACACCCACGTGCACAGCGCAGAGCGGCCCTTCCGGTGCGCCGAGTGCGGCCGGGCCTCCCGCCAGCACGGGCGGCTGCGGCTCCACCGGCGGCTGCAGTCAGACGAGCAGCCTTTTGCGTGCCCGGAGTGCGGCCTGGGCTTCCGGCTGAGGAGGCACGGCGGCGAGAGGCCGCTCTCCTGCGGCGAGTGCGGCCGCGACTTCGCCCACCCGTGCAAGCTGCGCGAGCACCTGCGGGTTCACAGCGGAGAGCGGCCCTTCGGCTGCCCTGAGTGCGGCAAGAGCTTCCGCCTGAAGGGCATCCTGAAGGCGCACGAGCGCACGCACAGCCGCGAGCGGCCCTTCCAGTGCGCGGAGTGCGGCAAGGGTTTCACGCGGCCGTCCAAGCTGGCCGAGCACTTCCGCGTGCACAGCGGCGAGCGGCCCTTCGGCTGCCCCGACTGCAGCCGCCGCTTCCGTCTCAAGGGGCAGCTGCGGAGCCACCAGCGCCTGCACACGGGCGAGAGGCCCTTCCCGTGCCCCGACTGCGGCAAGAGCTACCGCGTGAAGGCCGACATGAAGGCACACCGGCTGCTGCACGGCGGCCGGATGCCCTTCTCCTGCGAGTGTGGCAAAGGCTTTGCCAAGCAGTCCAAGCTCGTGGAGCACATCAGGACGCACACAGGCGAGAAGCCCTTTCAGTGTCCCCAGTGCGACAAGAGCTTCCGCTTGAAGGCGCAGCTGCTCAGCCACCAGGGCCTGCACACCGGTGAGAGGCCTTTCCGCTGCCCCGAGTGCGATAAAAACTTCCGGGAAAGGGGCCACATGCTTCGGCACCAGCGCATCCACAGGCCCGACAGGCCGTTCGCCTGTGCAGACTGCGGCAAGGGCTTCATTTATAAGTCGAAACTCGCCGAACACATCAGAGTGCACACGAAGTCCTGTCGTGCCCCCAGTGAGCCTGACGTTAAGCAAAGGCTCAGCCAACTGTTTGCGATGATTGAGGCCGACTGGAGTTGAGGCCGAGTAGGGCACCCAAAGCAGTCAGCAGAGTTGGTATTGCCAGGGAGTCCACAGCCAGCGCAGCCAAACCCAAAATCTGGTAAGACAGATGGAAGGAACAGGGGCCCTTTTTTGAGCAAGAATGTGATACAGGTTAGGCATGTGAGAAACCACAAAGATTCTCATTTAAAACATCACCAGCTGTGTTTTCTATCCATTGATAGAAAACAGTGGATAGAAACAGTAGATAGGTTTGTTCTTCCCACCATCTTAACTGGTCATTTTCCCCAATGTGCTAATAAGCTAACTCTGAAATCCCAGCTTGAATTTAGACAGCAGGAAATCCCTCCAGTACTGTTCTCAAAGCTAAAAGGATGGGGTGACTGTTAAATGTCAACTCTTCTTTTTTTCATAGTATGATGATAAGCAGGGAGTTTAACCCAGCGACTTTTGTTGCAGGCCTGATATGATAGGATTTGGTTTTGACTTATTTGAAGCTAATAGCAACAAAATGAGTTCTCCGACTCATGGTTTGTCTGTGTGAATGCTGAAGTTTCACAGCAGGTTTCATAGTGATTATGCATGGTTACCCTTAAGGAAAAGCTGATAATTCAAGCAAAATTTGATTAATCTGGGTTGAAGAAAATAAAACCAAAGGTGCTAAGTTGTATGGGACTAGAGTTTTGTTTTTTTAAATTGAAGTATAGTTGCTTTACAATGTGTTAGTTTCAGGTGTACAGCAAAGTGATTCAGTTATACATACATATATACCTATTTTATTTTCAGATTCTTTTCCCATACAGGTTATTATAAAATACTGAGTATAGTTCCTTGTGCTATACAGTAGGTGCTTGTTGATTATCTATTTTATACATAGTATCCCAAACTCCTGATTTACCCCACCCCACGGAGGGGGGTTAGCTAGAGTTTAGATAAGAGATTGGGACAGGAGGTAGATTTGGGAGTTCCAGAACACAGGTGCTGTTTGCAACTGAGAGTGACTGAGATTCCCAAGAGTGACTTTCTAGGCAGATGACTAAAGTCTGAGTTAAGACAAAATAACAAAGCTAAACAGCTTTATTAGGGAGCCTGACAGGCAACAACAGTTTCATGTAGAGAGTTTTCAAGGAAACGTTCAAAGTAAACATAATACAAATAGAAGTCGAGGAAAATACCCCATTTGTTACACTAGGTGAAGGCTGTGTGAGCACAGAATGTTTATACCTCAGGGACAGAGTTGTATTCCATCCAGAGAATTCCTGACTTTCAGAGGGTTTATGTTTCATTTAAAAGAATGGCTGACCTGAAATTCTAGGGATGATAGAAAATGAGATGTCAGTAAACTGTAATAGACATTACTATAAAGCAATAGTTCAAGATGATTTTCTCTGCAACACTAGCTCCAAGTAAATAAGTTAAACAGTTCCCCACTACACACACACAGAGTCTATGACTCTCAAGAGGAAGACATAATGTGTAGTATATTCTGAATATATTTGACCTTGGGATTCCTTTCTGTCTTTTTTTTCCCCCAAAAAAACCCCACTATGATCTTGTGGACATCAATAGAGTTCTACAGGACTCATTCTGGAAAATATTACTGAAGAATAGTCCTGGCTCCAGCCAAGTAGCCCTTAGTCTAAGACAGAATATCAGGGGTGAACGCCCTCAGTTTCAGGTGACAAAACAGAACTTTAAGTCAGAATAAATCTTTAATTGGTTTTAGAGCACCCTTTTCTCTCACGTGATAGGACACTAACAGAGGTGACTGATGCTATTAAGAGGTGATACGATTTAGGCAGGTTTGTAATCACTAGACACACATGGCTATGTCTGCTGTGTTCACGAGGCAATTGACCTCACAGTGCGTGAGGAAAGAAGGCCGTGGCCCCTGCTGCAGACGAGGGCCTGTGGTGAGGGAGCAGGAGGGCGAGGAGGAGCAGGGTCCGTAGTGGGGGAGGGGGAGGAGAAGGGGGCCTGTGCTGGGGGAGGGGAGGAGGAGGATGTGGCAATGAATCATGTAGAGGCTTTGAGGGAGACTGAAGGCTCGGGCCTCTAGTTCGGTGTTCTCACATATTTCCTGTTATAATTGGAGGATCTCAGAGATAGTAAAAGATCCAGAGTGTTTGAATTTTGTTAGAAACTGGAAGGGTTTTGGAGGAAGTTGAGAAAAAGGGCACGACACAACTAAACCCCAGTACCCTAGGCTGCCCACGCTACAAATGAAAAAGATACCAGAGTGGTGTTTAACAAGTAGAGGGATTTCTGGGAAGGAAGGTATTATAAGCACAGGTTCCTAAAACTTCTCTTCCTTTCCCGCCCAAAATTCCTAAAAAAAAAAATCACTGCTGAGATATCCTGGTGAAATCCCTGAACTTCCAAAAATAAGAAGAAGGGAAAAAAAAAAGTATCCTGTCACCTACAAAGGAATAAGAACTCTGATGGGCGCAACAGTGAAGATCATATTAAAGGGACAGAATGGTTAAAAAAAAATCCATTTAAGTCAAGAAGACAAGGTCTCTGCTGAGCCATTATTTAACATTATAGAATACATCATATTACTGTGTACCTGGAACATCCAAGAGAATCAGCTAGGTAACTACTACAAGTAAGAAAAATGACCCTCTTCACAAAAGTCCAGTTACTGTATTGATTCAAGATAGGAATTTAGCACACACTTATGTTTGTGTCTTCTGCCTCTCAGTATCCCATTGAAATTATAGTAAAGGGATTTTTCTTCAAAGGCTGTAAATCCACAACAAAGAACAAAATTCCGAGGAGACCATCACCAGATGAGAAATTTCAATAGATTTCAGAAGGTTATTAAAGAATGGTATCTAATGAAGAGGATCACAGGACTGAGCTGAGGGGACTATTGATTTGCTCAGAAGAAGCTCAACCTGGGGAGCCAGGCAGGATGGAGTCTGGAAACCAGGGCATTAACTGAAAGTCTATTACAGTGAATAGTCCAGCCCCACTCCATCCCTACCACTACCAACACCAGAAGCAGGAAGTATGTCTGGCAGCTAGGTATTTACCTTGTAAGGGAAAAAAGGAAATGAACAAAGCATCTGGGGATAACTAGAACAATATGGATGTTGTCTGAGATAAAAGCCCTCCTCATTCTAGCATGACTCCTAAGCAATCAGTCACCTTGGAGTAAACTGTTATACAAGACCCACCCATGGACACAAAGATCCTAATTGACTTGTCTACTGTTGCATTCTCAAATATGGACAGGCAAGATTATCAAACATTTGGAAAAAACTTTTACATGAAAGAGAAAGACCAAGACAAGCAAGAAGAAAAGTACGTCAGACAAACCATAGCTAATTCAGGAAATAAAAGCTATATTTTAAAATCTCTAATAAAAATAATCAGAAAAATTGGAGAACACTTATAAAACAAGAACATAATGTTATGAAAAAGGAAGCATCTGAAAAACAAATTCTAGGAAGTTTAAAAAAAAGTGCTAAAATAAAAACATCTCAGGAATTCTCTGGCAGTCCTGTGGTTAGGACTCGGCACTTCCACTGCCAGGGCCCCGGGGTTCAATCCCTGGTCGGGGAATTAAGATCCTGCAAGCTGTGCAGCACAGCCAAAAAAAACCCCAAAATAAAACAAAACAAAATCTCATCGTAGTATTAAAGAAATCTCAGAGAAAACAGAACCAAGTTTCAACAGATAGAAAATAAGAGTAAATGGGAGAAAATGAATTGTGCAAATACTAGCCTCTGCCCATTTTTCTATAGGAAAAAAATGCATATCTGTACATATTATGTTAATCATGTATACATATATGACATAAAGGTAGGAGGGGAAGGGAGTGGGAGAAAGAAGCAAACAAAGCGGGGAAAGTACACCAAAAAGCCCCTCACGTGTGATTATGCATCTATATAAAAATGTATGTGATTACAAGGAAACTTTGAAATTTTAAAAAGTAGTAATATAAAAATAAAATATAAAACTCAGTCCTAAAGGAGGGCTGGACACTCCTTTTAATTCTTTTTAGAATTTTAGAGTCTTAAAATTCCAATCTCTAATATTACAGAGAAGGAAACCAAAGCCACAGTAAGTGTCTCATCCACAATCTCATACCTAGTTAGTGGCAGGGCTGAGACCGTGCGGGTCTTCTGAGTCCAGGGCAGGGATCCTTCCACCACACTTAATTAGAAATCCAGGAAATGCATGTTCTGTGGATAAGAAATACTAACTGCTTAAACAAACAAAACCAGCACAGTTACCTAACCAGGGAAGGAAGATTACAGAGAAAGAGAACAGAAAACCACAAGTATTCAGTGTAAAAAATCACATAGGCAAAGGGAGATTATTAGCAGCATCTTGGAAAAGACCAAAAGATTAATGAAAGGATTCTTTTTTAAAATAGGGAAGAAAAGCCATCGGAATGAATGGAAACCCTTTATGATTTTAGGGACAAAGAGATTATTTAGGAATAAAATAGAATCATCTTTCTGACTGAACGTAATTCACTACTTCACTCTTGACCAAGATAGCTTCTGGGGGGAGGTTTCCATCACCCTAAAATGTGAAGCTTGGAGTTTTAACTAAAAATCCAGAAACTTTTAGTTATAATTGACAAAGGGGAGTTTGTCACCAGAAGTTTTAAAATAAGTTAGGAACAAACCAATCACTCTCATGGAAACTAGAGGGCTTTTTATCTGTGACCCCACTCTATAAGAATAACATCCCCCCCCCGGAAACCAGTGCGATTATATCCTGATGAGAGTCACCTGGTAAAAAGTACAGAAAAGGATGTGCTCACCGAACACTTAAAATAAGTTGTTGAGGGAGAGGCAACAGTTTCTATTATGCCTGTGTGGTGTATCCAGGGAATAAAAGGATAGCTTCTCACCACATCCACTTGGATGTCTAATAGACTTCTCAAATTCAACATTTCCAAAACCAAACTTATAATTTTCCTCCCTTATCCTGTTCCTTCTGTAGTCCTTTCCATCTCAGCAAATGGAAACTCCACCTTCTAGTTTCTTAGGTAAAAAATCTTGATACTTCCTTTGACTTCTCTCTCTCTCAAAAATCTCACCTAATCCATCAACATGTCCTGAGAGTTCCATCTTCAAAATAAATCTAGACTCTGAAGTCGTCTTCCCACCTCCTCTAAGACAACCTGGCTCAAGCTGCCATCACCTGGTGCCTGATTATTTCAATAGCCTCCTCACTGATCTTCCCGTTTCCACCATTGCCCACAGTCTGTTCTCCAGAGAGCAGCCAGAGTGAGCCTTTAAAAATAAAAGTCAGGTCATGTCATTTTCCTGGTCAAAACCCCCAATAATTTGAGGGTCAACAGATTTGAAGAAGCAAAAGAGACCAAAAAGGAGAGAACAGTGAGGTGAGAGGGATCCCATGAGAATATGGTGTCTCACTAGCCAAGCAAGGAGAGTATTCCAAGAAGCAGGTCTGCTGCTAAGGAGTACAATGAGAACAGGGAAGTGGCCAGTAGAATTGGCAACATTGAGATAAATGTTAACCTAATCAAGAACAGTTTCACTGGGAGCCGTTGGGGCAGAAAGGCAAAACTTGGTTGATTGGTGCAGGAGTGTGAATAAGGAATTGGAGACAGGCTACACGGAAAACTCAAGTTTGAAAGAAGTTTGGTCATGAAGGGGAAAAGAGAATTTGGCAGTAGCGG